ATACATGCTTTACATTTGAGATAAGTTTGATTAAGACATTGATTATTCAACTTCAATTAGTTACGCTTAAGATGGGTCTGTTGTAGCTGAATGTAATGAAATGTATTGTAATGTAAGGTAACGTATTTTTATTATTATTAGTGTTCTGTCTTATGACAGGTCCATATATTATGAACAGGATCCTTCCAACCCCTTCAGGTTGTCAGGGACCTGCTCATACATATATACATTCTTGGCAGATGATCAGAAGTGGTTTGCCATGGAGGAAAACTCCGTGATGCCTAGACCACGGTCTTGCCCAACACAAGTTATAAATCTGAGCACCACGGGGAATTGAATTGTAATGTAATGTAAGGTAAGGTAATGTAAGGTGTAACAATGGTTTATCAACAAATAAACAACAATGGTTACCTAGGAAACTTTATCTGTTTATCAACAAATCGACAATAATGGTTACCTAAGGAACGTCAACTGTTCACTCAACATTATTGTTACCTAATTGTTATGTAAACAGGTGATGTTTCGTAGGTAACAATAACAATTGAAGTTTCCAAGGTAACATAACAATGCAGTTACACTTTTTCCTTTCACTTTTTGCCGAATGATATTGACCCTTCCATATAGACGTATTTATGTCAAAAAGAAATACTATAAATAATAAATTAGTAACAATGTACAAGAAGGGAGATGCAATTATCTGTTTTACGTTACTGCGATGTTGTATACTGATTGTAGATGTCATTTTGGGCCAAGCTTTACACACACACACACACACACACATGCAGTCAGAGATGCTGCACTAACCATTACTGTAAATGTGCCTAAATTGGAAGCTCTTGGGCACGGGTGAAACAGTTACAACTGTGCCATTGGGAATTGAGAAAAACTCACCTGTGATGCCTAGCCAGTGGGAAATTTGGTTGGCATACATAGCTCGAACACAACCTGTGAGGCCATACCCATTTTCATGTGGCTTCTCAAAGTACCAAAATCTTTCTGTCTCACTGAAGCACACTCCTACAAACACCCCAACATTCTGTCCCTTTAGGTGTTCAGGGTTGACACCTTAACAGAAAAATATATCATTATTACCAATACAAACATTCTCTAAGTCATTCTAGAATGTGACATATCAGGTACGGAGAGCAGTAGATTTGTAATATCCCTGAACACTACAGATATCACAGGAATATTATCACAAAGGAGGCCCGCATGTGTCAGGAATATAGAGTTCTCCCCTCTCCAATTCTTCCCTTATTTTATACAAGAGTTTGAGCTGCCGTCCTCCTCCTTATATGCAGGCCTTGCAACTTCTGCAACTATTTCTCAACACAAAACAGAGATCTTGTCCTGAAATGTTAGCAGTTTCTCTTCAAATATTGTCTTTCAGTCCTTGCAAGTAATGTGGATTGTTTAACAAACTCTTTCCTTTAGTGTCCCCCACAAATAACAGTTCAATGGACTGAAATCTGGAGAGAGTTATAAACCACTGACAAAGTATGTCTTTTAGTGCAGTCACTGAAAAATTTGCTAAAAAGTCTATGGCATTACCCTGCATGAAACAACGATACACATTTTTTCCTCTTCTTTACTTCTCTAAGAAATGGTATCAGAATTTAAAGTCATGCAAGGGAACATCATAAACTGCATGGGGACATTCAGAACAAAATTTTTCAGGTCATGTGGCTAACATCCCCTCTTCCTCCCATGTAGTTTACTATGTTTACCTTCAGGAAGCTTGTCAGTTAATATACAAACAGTGAGAAACAACAAAATCTGTCGACATTACTGTAAAAAGACATCAATCATCATTCTGGAAATGATTGATATATAAAAGCACAGGTAAGTGAGGCAGAGTCAGCTATGTTTGACAGTCAAGTGATAGCAAAGCTTGTGAATTGTCATGTGCTACAGACACAGCTTCATTATCAAGCAGCAGAAAAGAATGGAGGAAGTTTATTATGAAGTAGAAGAAAGCTTTTTACCCAGACAGCCAGAAAGTGAATTGGTGAGCATCAATTCAGTTAATAGTCAATTTTGCTTGTAATAGTGTGAAGTAAATACATCTTGTATTAAGACACCACCAAGTAATCAATAATTATTATAAAATATGTAAAATCACTGACCTGCATCCACAATAGCCTCATACGTCCTTTCCATCATCAAACGACAATTTGGGTCCAACATGTGTGCCTGTTTGTAGTTAATCCCAAAAAATGATGCATCAAACTTCGTAATATTGGGCAACTTTCCTGCCCTGGGAAGCTCATTGTGTTCTACACAAAAAATAATACATATAACAAAATTTTATAATCACTTTCGATCTCTTACAAATCTGTCAACCTGCACAGTCCATGCAGTGAATGGTACGTAGACAGACTCAGAGACATGGTCTATAGCTGTCTGCCTCCTTCTGCTGTAAAAAATACTTATAAATGCTGAACGATCACAGGGAAATCCTGTGTCATATGTCTTTAAGGGAAAGCAGTTACAGATAATTCCACTGTTATTTGTACTTTAACTTTTAAAATTTCAGTAAACTTCTACAAGATTACACCCAAAAAAAGTCACCTTCTTATTATATCATTTTATTATATATTTTCCCTTCATGAAAATTGGTAATGCTAACTAATCAATTTAGTACCATATTTCTGGGTGTTTATTCCTCCCACAGTTGGTTAATAAGTCCATAAACGTTTAAAATCTGTAGAGCAGGCAAAAACATATTTCACAAATCAATGTACGTAAACTTCAGATTCTGCAATACAAGTATGAAAAATAATTTTACAAATTAATATACATAAAAATCAGAATTTTAAATAGAAATACAAAACTCACTTTACATATAGATTATAGATATACATAAAGCTTAAAAATTTTCAGCAGAGATGAAATCATCTACAGAAAAGGAAGAGTGAGTGAATAGGTAATCTTTCAATGCAAGCTTGAATACCTTTATATCATAATTTAGACTTTTGTTGGTGGAAGATAATTATGTAACTTGATACCTGTATAGTACGCTCCTTTTTGATATTTAGTAAGGTTAGCATTTGGCACACAGAGATCATGCTTACGTCTTGCATTTAAATTGTGTACATCTGTATTTCTTTTAAATTTATCCAAGTTTTCCACCACAAATGATGGCAAGCAGAGTATAAATTCACTTGCAAGTTGAAGTATATTAAATTTATGAAATAATTTTCTATAAGAAACCCAGCTTTTGACACCTGCCATTATTCTAATTATTTTCTTTTGCATGTAAACAACTTTATTACTGTCTGTTGAATTTCCCCAAACTATTAACCCATATGACACTACAGAGTGGAAGTAGGCAAAGTAAACTAGCTTTAAAGTATCTATTGTCATGAGTGGTACGACTGTTCTCATGGCAAAGCATGCAGTGCTTAATTTGGGAATAATATACTCAATGCGTTTCTTCCAATTTAAAGTATTGTCATCTTGTAAGCCAAGGATTTTGTTTGTTTCAACTTCCGAAATTAATTTTTCTTCAAAACCTATATTTCAATTTGGAAGTTGCCTTCTCCCCACGCCCCTGCCACAAACAATTGAAAAGTTGTTGGATTTGAGGATTTCATGGCAGAGTCTGAAGATGGCCGTCTTCCGGGTGGTTGTGCCATGTAGTCTGGCAGAAGATGCATTTTAATATTATCCAGCAAATTATTTTGTAAAAGATTCTTCATAAATGAAACCAAAAACCAAACAAAATTATATCTGAATTCATAGCACAAGAGAAATTCTC